TAATGCTTTAATGTAAAGTTCGAATATTACCATATGTGGGAGTGATTGCAATCTCACGAACTAATTCATCACCAAGCTTGTATTTTGGATATGTCACTTTTATGTATGGTAAGCCTTCATTTGTTTTTCTGGTTTGCCTGCTTACATTCTCATTGAAGTAGAGACATGCCAAAATGTGTCTAACACATAAAATAAATTTTTATTGTTATACAGAAAACATACAAAAAACTACCTACAGAGATAACTGCATGGAACTTTCAACAATAATGTCACCTGCAATATGTACCCATCCAAGAGAAGCTTAGCATCTTAGGGTGCCAATGGTTTAATGTAGCATCAAAACCTTCCAAAGAGCTTGTCTGAGCTTCTGGTGACATCTTTCGAACATCATTAATGACGTTCCCTTTCAGCAAGATAGATTTTAATTTCTCATGTGGTCTACTGCCTGAACAAATATTTGCATATATTTACTGCTTCATTTTATGGAACTGTTTCAAAATATGTTGTGTTTTGTTGTCATATACATTGGTTGTATAGCTGCCTCTCCATGCTGAATATACCTACAGTATTTCAACCATTTTCTTGGCGCCAAATCACCATGAGCACATGCTTTGTACAATGGGTCCAGGTGGTCCATATGTTTATTACACACATGCCGGAGAAACGACTTCCATTTAGCGGCGATCAAATCTCCAAAACCAGGTTTTTTAGAGGTTACACACCAGTAGAGATGAGATTTAATAGCCTTAGTCTAGTTTTTTAGAATTTCGCATGTATTGTCTTTGCTAGCTTTGAGAACCTTTTTGATTATGGATTTTGCAATATGTCAAATGTCATAAAAGTGCGTTGTTCCTTTTTCTTTTGTTCGAATCCATTTACCAATACCTCTATGTCGATCAGAAATAAAAGTCTTTATCTCCAAACCAGATGTTTTTAAGTGCGAGAAACATCTTTTGGCGCCGGCCAACTCCATAGCATTGCTGCTGCCTGTCTCGTTGGACTAAAAATGCAAATTATCTCTTAAACTCTCCAAAAGACTGTGTATAACTAGATATAGCACAAAATTATTTAAAATACCTGCAATAGCTCAAAATGAACAATCTTTTGAAGATCGCAGCAAAACATGCTGTACACACCATATTTAGCACTATGTCCCGTATAATCAAATCTTCCATCGCCACACCATGAAACATCTTGTAAACTTTCACTCTGCCAACCAAGGCAGCTCTATATGTTTCCCAGCGTTTCAGTATGACTGGAAACAAGAATTTTGCTTGATGTTGATAGAAGGCTCTTGCTGTAAAGACTGCTAAACACCAGTAGAATTTTGCTTATCGAAGCACCGGCCATTAACGTAGCAAAACTTAAAAGTATGTTTCCAGCAGGGTATCGCCCGAGCACAAGAGGTTGGCTGTGCCATTTATATGTCCCGCCACAGTGATCACAATTTTGATATACCGTTACCATAGTTCCATGGACTTTCATTTCGACTGCTGGGGAGTTGTCTTTACATTTGAAGCAAAACATCGAAAATAATGACATAAGCGTAGAGTAAAACACAACAAACTTAGGTTCATCAGTGCTGGAGGTGCCTGGATCCACCCTATAATTATACAGGATTTAGCATATGTACGCATGTTCGGTTACCTTCCTTAAAATGCCAAGCTTAAGGATGGTATATGCAAAGCTAATATAAAGAATGTTTTCACATATTAACATGACATTTGTTCTGCAGTTAGACTCGATAGAATCCCCTTCGACTAAATCCTCCGCATTTTCGCACCATTCAGGATCACTAGCTTCATCATAAACCTCTTCATCTGCTGTGCTTTCCTCATCTTCGTCCATCATCGCTTCAACTACTTCATCATCAACAGACATTCTCTGTATACAGAAAACATGGTAAACAGATGCATGTTGTAGTGGTTTTCAAAAAGAATACCATAGTTATATTTCAAGAACATTAATCTTGCTAAATGACACCACACCTTTCCTATATTTTCTTGCCTCCTTTTCTCTGATTCCAAAGTTTCAATTCGTTCTTCACAGGACTTATGTCTTTTTTTGCACATTTTGCATGAAACTGGAACTGCACTTTTATTTTCTTGGTTATCTGGAAGATCGCTACCAACGCTGGCAAAGGAACTATCTAATACATCATCTGACATAATCATGGAATCATCTAGGCTCGTATCAAGTTGATCTGCTTTTTCTGTAGTTATCTGCTCTTCAGTCTCTGCATCTTCCATCAGCTGTTTAGACGATGAACAGGAACCTTCTTCATTTCCTAGCATTTCGCGGATTACCTAAAAAATAATTAATCCCAATAATATAATTTTACACAGTATATAATTTTTACAACAGTAAAATTTATACAACCATTTGCAAGCTTCCATTAACCGCGCACTCGAAACAAGGTTTTGAAAAGTTTGAATTAATGAGATTTTCAACGGAAACACATTTGTTTTGACATTCAAACGTTTTCTGGGAGGGGCCAAAACAATTAGTTTCGCGATCAAAACATCACACTTTTGCCTATAATTGTAACCAAAATTTGTAGCTTTGTTATGGAGTTTAAGATAAACAGACATGGTAGATATAGACATCTTATTGCTCAAGAATGGATTTACAATTAGTAAATTCCCCTAAAATTCTCTAAATATAAGATGAAAATTACGTAAGTGACGAAAATATCCATGATTTGACAGGTGCAATTAGTATATATATATTAATTAAGCACTTGTCAATCAAGCAGGTAGCCAAAAATATAGAATATAGAATATTACACATATATGTGTTATATATTACGCATAAATGTCAATGTCATAGTACTAGCAACGTCTGAACTGAAAATGTCTACTGTTAAAGTGAAAGTGTTTTATGGAGGTGGTTATGAACGATGTAATGTTATCAACTTTGATCGAGATACACTTTGTAATATGAAATTTGCGTCGTTCGCGAGTCGAGTTGGTCAAATTGTGTGTCATGAGAGTTCTTCGACATCTATGAGGATTCAATATAAGGACGACGAGAATACATACGTGACAATGAGTAACGATGACAATTTTGAAGATGCCCTGCGTTGCATAACCCAAATACAACATCATGAAAACATCTTCCGACTAAGTATCAGAGTTGATGATTCCTTGACGCCAAAGTCGCCAGCGAAAAAGAAGCAATGCACAGCAATGCATGAAGACAAACCCACGCCACTACCCGGTAAGAGCGCTGCAAGTAAAAGAAAACTTAACTTTCCCTCTAATTTAGGGACTACCACTGTCACTAAATCTGGAGAACGGGCAGAACCCAATGTGCAAAGTAAACACGCCGATACACCTTTGCAAAGGTATATTTCTAATTATCAGTCAATAATAAATGAAAAATGCCAGGCTAAGAAAAAACTTGAGGACGATGAAACAAAGTTAAGAAATAGAATCGAGAATGCAAAATTACAAAACGGCGAAAGGGGTTCGATATGTCATAATTGCCACATGCGGTTGGGGCACTCATCTCATACTTGTTCTTTCGATAGTTGTGAAACACTTTACAGCTGTGGGCAGGAAAAATTCCACGCCGCAGAAATGTCTAAACTACGGCAACAAAGACAATCTATAAATAAGCTCAATAAAGAAATTGAACAGCTATCAAGTGATATGGAAAGCAGGATGACAGCTGTATCGAAAATAGAAAACTCTATGACGAGTCGAATTGAAGCGGAGCTTCTAGAGGCGGACGAAGATCAGAGTTATGATGTAAACGGGTTTCGAAACTGGCAGTTATTGCGAAAGCATGTGTACGCTATTCAAGGATATTCCAAAAAATATTTAAACGGAAAAATCCCACCAAAACATGAGCTGAAAAGCATTCTTAACCTTGCATTAGATGAAAGTTCTGAAGTGACTTATAAAATGAACAATAAACAAAGCCGCCGAAGGAAACATAGGGAAAATCCATTCAAGGAACAGTTAGAAAGAGAGGGGATTGCTTTCCCATCCGAGCCCACTTCGTACGAAAAAACATATGACAGGGAGGAGTCAGATTTACCTCGATACATGCCAACGGCAAGAGAGGAGGAAGAAGAGCAACTTAAAATTGCACTTTCTGTTAGCGCAAAAGCAGATAGTATACATCCTTCGGCTACTGAAAGACTACATCAAGAAATTCCCGAAACAATGACCCAATATGGGAATCACCAATATCCAATGCCCCAAGTAGTACAACCTCAATCACCTTCGTTATATTTTCCTAGCTATATGCAAAACAATTTTCTCTATAATCAAACACCTGCTATCAGTTTTTGCCCGCCAAACGTGGAGTCGCATGGTAGACCAGGTTCACTGGTAGAAGCGAGTTCAACATGCACAATTACTTCCCTTCAACCTGCTCAAGATTGCAACAATTGTGATGGAGAAATTAATGTCTTGCCAAGTGTTCAAGATAACGCTGTTGCCAGTACGGCTGCTGAAGCGCTTCTTCAAATTTACTCTTCCTCGACTAGAAGCATCAGTGATGTTGATTGAACGTATGTATGCACAAACAATTATCAGGTCACATTTATACAAGTTTCTTAAATGATTCTATGACTATGTATACAGTCTCCGCAATTAATTACTGCGAATAGCATGTTTGTATAATATATTGATTCATATTTGTTTCCTTTGGCTTTGTAGCGTCAAATTTTCTGTTATCACAAACTACAGTAAGAATTTCCCTTCCTTCCGGCGATAGATTAGTACTTACGTAGCTATACATATGTCTAAAAATAACTTTGTAATCAGTAGAATATCAATTGCAGAATTCTTACTGTGTCCATGATCACAGAAACATTTTAACTGCGAGGGTAACTACAGTAAAAGCGTATAAATAACTGACTCATACAGTTTTTAAATTTGCAGACTCAGTAAGCAAAAAATGTAGACTTTGAGAGTTTGACAACTTTTTTACTATTTCAATATGTTAATTATGTAAAAGTTGAGTATAGCAGACGAGTGTGCATGTTCTTAAATGTCAAAGAGATAAGATGTATGTCTGAAAAATCCACGCATATCACTGTCTGTGATAGTTTCGACAGCGTACGAACCAGCTAACTTTACGTTAGAGTGAACTAATTCGAAAAAGTCCTTATTTAAAGACGTCTTAACTTTATTGAAACACATTTCGATCAGATTTAAATCCGGGGAGTAAACGGGAGTATAAATTAGCTCGATTCCGGACTCGGCCAAAAAATCTTCTAAAATTTCCCCTCCTTCGTAATGGTGCACCGCTAAATTATCCATGAAAATTATGTCTCCAACCTCTAACACTGGACGAAGAGTTTCCATATTCGTAGCTTCTGAAGCTTCGTGAAAAAAATTTAAAAAGTCTACCGTGTTTGTTGCTCCATCTATTAAATTGTAGTACTCTACTCCGTTGATCGAAACTAGCATGTTTAAAGTGGTATTCGGATTTTCTTTCTTGCGAATAACCTCTACACATCTCTCCCCAACAGGAGAATGACCGTATCGGCGTGTTCCAACATTAGGTACCTTAATTCCTGCTTCATCAAAAAACTTTAATTTTCTAACATCTTTTGCACTTAAATAGTCAATGAATAATTGTGTGTACACCATGTTATTAAATGTAAATCTTTCTCTTGCAATTTGGGTTATTTTTTTTCGTCAATACACTTTTCCAGATAGTAAATGATCTTTTATAGCCATGAAATCGAGGATAAAGAAATATCTGCGCCAACTTCACCAAACTGTTCAACCACTGTGTAGATTTCTTTAAGCGAAATTGAGCCTTTTTCTATTTTTAGCATTTCAATGAGTTCGAGATCATTGGCAGATAATTTGGAGCAAAAATCACCTCCACGCTTTAAGCTGGAAACATCATAGTTGTCACAAAATTGTTTCCATATTTTTGAAACAGTATGACTGGAAATTTTTAAATTACTCGCAACTTCAGAATATCATTCGCCCATATTTGCTCATTTTATACTCCATTTTATATGATTTTAGGCAGCTACTTCATTGACGGCGCTAAAAGGTCAGTTATTGACAAGCTAGTGCTTAATATATATATATACTAATTGCACCTGTCAAATCACGGATATTTTCGTCACTTACGTAATTTTCATCTTATATTTAGAGAATTTTAGGGGAATTTACTAATTGTAAATCCATTCTTGAGCAATAAGATGTCTATATCTACCATGTCTGTTTATCTTAAACTCCGTAACAAAGCTACAAATTTTGGTTACAATTATAGGCAAAAGTGTGATGTTTTGATCGCGAAACTAATTGTTTTGGCCCCTCCCAGAAATGTTTGAATGTCAAAACAAATGTGTTTCCGTTGAAAATCTCATTAATTCAAACTTTTCAAAACCTTGTTTCGAGTGCGCGGTTAATGGAAGCTTGCAAATGGTTGTATCGCTTTTGTGCTTCACTGTATTAAATATGACACAGACGTAGAAAAACCCAAATTTATCCTTAAACTGAGGGCTTGTGTTTGATATAAGTAATATGTTCTGTATTCTTGTTTAGTAAATTAAATCTACGATGTTCAGTATGTCCATTTGCATACGTCATCCATGACCTTTGGTCACCTTTTGGCCGAGCAAAATATTGTCGCCAAAAATCGGCAAATTTCCTATTTTTAAGGGCTTGTAACTTGGAAAGTATTTTATGGATTAAGCTCAGATTTTGCACAGTATATTTTCATATGTAAGTGTCTCATTTGGAACAAAAAAATTGAGTAGTAAATTTTCACTTCATAGACACTTTAAGATGCCGCGTCAGTTATATAAATTGCAGCAAGCGTTTCCTGTATTCTTTGCGCAATTGTCTAAGGGTGTGTAAGTTATTACAGACAACTGCACGTATCGTTACATTTTACAAGTTTTTATTTATTTATTCATATATATACTATATATACAGACAAAGGGAAACTCGTATGGCCAAAAGTTTGTCATCGCCAACCATTACAAATACAACATCCTAAAAGCTTTGTCGTTGACCTGTCGTTGACTTTAATCAACGAAAGACATCAAGTGTGACGATATGGGCTCATTGTGCAACAACAGCTTGAAAAAGTATTCCTTTAGCCAGTGGTGTAACTTACACATGAAAATTGGTTGGTTGTCCTGAATGAAAGCCACTTGCCATCAGGCAATGGGGTACCTAAAGGGGAGGGGGCAGCGGCTGATATGTAAACTAGGGAGACAACATATCGACTCATTGGGCCTGTGACGTGATTATTCCAAATACTTTCCCATGCAGGAGCAAAAATATAACCAGGAGCCTTCTTCTTCCGCTTCTAGTGCAATACGGCTATGTTACTGCCTTACAATCAAGTAAACTTTAAATAATCTAACACCAATTGTATATAATTATATACATATAAAATATCAGTATATAGGATTCAGTGTACTATTTAGTTTGTGTGCTGCTTTAGCCGCTTCAGCATCGCTTCTTTGCTTTGGGTCCAAATTTGGATGTTTGACCTTCCATAAAGGATGGACGCCTCAGTCTAGCTCCACTGACAGACCAAGCCTCAATGACTGGAACTGGGTTGAACTTATCAAGGGATGGACCTTCTAGCTTTGCCAACAGTTGATCTTCCAGTGGGCTTTGTGGTAAACATGACCTTTTGTCTGTCTTGACAAACTTTAGCTGGCTAAAGCCCCTTTCAGCTTCTGCACTTGAGAGACAAAATGTCCCCAAGAAATCAACTAGACCAATAAGATTAATGAAATTATCTGCTGATATCTGGCTGATGATATCTTCCCAGCTTATCTTTTCAGGATGCTCCCATTCAATGTTGAGGGTTGAAAGTTTTCGCTTCAGTGCTTTCCACTCTACAAGGATTTCTTCTATTGCAATGCCTTGTTTCACCAACTGCTGTTCTATAAAGATATACTCATTGAGGTTGCCTATTTCTTCATCCATCCAGTCAGATATCTTCCACATTCGGATGCGATTGGATGTCACAGAATCCCGCGAAAAAAGTTCATCGTTCTTCCAGGCTGTGATATTCAGTAGCGAAGATAGTTTGTCTAGTTCTAAGGGAACTGAGTCAGAGCAGCGTTGCTTGACACAGTCAATAAGAATATCCAGTATTTTTTACCTTGGTTGCTTCAGATAAGTGTTCCTGGCCAGACATAATGCACTGGGTGAGAACATGGTTGTAATCTCCTTTCACATACTTCTGCCACTTAGCGCCACAACTGGTATCCTGTTTCAGCAATTTCAGTCTGCCTACACAATTTTCCAATGAGGACTGGACTGCAGGGAAAGGAATACTTCTCGTCTGTGAAAACAGAGAGAATCTTGGAAGGGCTTTCAAAACATCAAGTATAAAAATAATTAATTCAACAAATGCCGTTTGTAGAAGTCTTTTTTCAAAATATTTTGCCTTAGCTTTTTGTGATGCACTGAATCTTTCAGCACTCTTCAAAGCAGCTAGGCAGTCTTGGGTGGCAATCCACTGTGTTTAACAGATTTGTCACTGCATTTCTCGTGTGGGCTATCCAATGGGTTCCATCCACTTGACCAGCCGAAGTTACACCCTTTCTGTTTTTCACTTTAACTGCATTCCGAAAAGCTGCATGTACATTTGAGTTTGTGCGAAACAGATACAACGACTTTAGGAAATCATTCAAATCATCTTTGTTTAAGTGCGTCTTTTAAAGAAAGTTCCAATTGATGGGAAATGCACCAGGTGTATACCATATGACAATTAACTTCTTTTGTAAGGAGAGCCTGTTCACCTGCATTCTTTCCAGAGAGGACACTTGCTCCATCCACGGTTAATAGACTGGTTAGAAGAGAGACTGGTTAGGCTAGTCGGCGAACTTTAAAGGCTCTCTGAAATTATGTTGAAATCCGACAAAAAATAGGTCACGTGATGCGATCCCTGCATGAGGCAAGGAGCGTACGATATAAACAATGGGTGATACACAGTATTTTGCAAAATGTAGGCGATTTTTTTAACCCGTTGACTTGTAGATTATTCTTTAATGACTATGGCAACCATAGTGCTTCTCTTTGACGTCTAATGGGATTTTATCTAACAAGCAGATCATATTACGGTAATTTATTCTAAAACTCCGAAGGGGTATTTCAAATCTGTTAATCGCGTATTGGGTTTCTGACACATTGTATCGAGATATTGCGGTAGGGATGGCACAATCAAGCGAAAGCGAGTCTGAAATATATTTAGAAGATCCAGAATATGATTTCTACAACTTAGAGGTCACTGTTGCTATTACTGAGGCCGAAGGAGAAGATATAGAGAACGAATTCAACGACGCTTTGAGCGAAATACATGGTGAGAAATCGTTTCCCTGTGCGAAATGTGAAAAAATTTGTAAGTCAAAAGGAGGCTTAACAAGACACACAAACGCAAAGCACAACGACATCACAGCCAAGCAGACATCGCCAGAATTAGATCTTTGCCGAAAGAAAAGCCAAGATCAATTGGTCGAGTCGTTTTTTGCATTAATGCCACAGTCCACTCGATTGTTAAACTGCGTGGACTACAAAGCTGCGAACCTTATAATGATTCACATTCCAGACCACCTTGTTGGTTTTTACAACATAAACCGTGGACGAACAGATCGTATGGAAATAGCGCGAACATCCCAAGCTTCATCCTAATCAATTGACCAAGCTGGGCGTGGACCGTTGTCATATGTTGCAGGCTATGGTTGTGTCGAAACTATTCCAGACAAGTATACGTAAGAATGGAGAACACAAAGAGGAACTAAACTCATTATTGCAAAGCATGAAATCATCAGATATGTCAAGCTTTATTGCTTCTCGTACCAGAGGTGGGTTGGTTAATCTATCTTCAAATTTAGTGGGTATTTTGGAAGAAGCTGAAAAAACATTTAGGGAAAAAGTTTGTGAGTCAACATAGAATCCCCCAAGGTGAAGTCCTTATGGGAGAACATTGTTCTCTCTGCTGGTGTGAACACAACTGGTCAGACACAAAAATTGTGTTTGGAAAATGTTATTAAACTATATTTGAAGGTCAGGTCATTTTCTTATGCAAGAGACTACCTTAACAAACATAAAATCAAAGAGAAGAAAACCAGACAAAAGGCATTAAGAAAGGACTTGAAAAGATCAGCTGATCCAACAACATAATTTAGCATCGAAAACTGTATATATACCTGTATTGACGATATGCACATTGTACATGTAAATATACATTTTTTCAGTATTTGTGAATAAGGTGCTTGTGATATTGGATATGTCCCAAACGGCTTGAAAAATATGCCTGACTATGGTGGGTATCAAACCTAGTAGGTTCCATCCCCACCAGGTCAATGCCATAATCATATACAAATTTATCCTTATACGGCCCAGTCATTACCTATTTGACCTTTGTAAAGCACAATATTTTTTGAGATTACAGATGATGCTATTAATTTCACACCTGTTTTCTCAGACTAGAAATATGCTCAAAAAAGAAATAGTTCATCACATTCCTCAGCTTTAATCATTTACTAGCATTACTAAACCACTGACAAGTAAAATCATCTGGCATTAGATGGAATAAATACTAAACTAGGGTTAATAGCAAAGATTAAAATTGATTTCAACTGTCCCCAATAGCCAGGCATCATACCCAAGCTTTTTTAGATAAGATTCTGGTTTACAGGTATCACCATTTTTTTACCAATTTCTATTATGTCACCGTGTTTACCAACCTTGTTAACTGCAGCAGACCATTGTCTACCCAGATTATGGTTTATGTTATATTACCCCCAGAATTATCTATTTTTCAGAATATAAGTTATAATATTAAAGTGAGGAATAATTTTAATGAACTCATAATATTTCAACAATAGTAAGAATAGTATTATTTCTAAGAGTTATAAGAACCATAGCTCTGGCAAAAATATGGAATTGAAATAAAGTATATTACAAAGATTTTCAGTTCTTTTGATCTAAAAAATGATTTCACATGGACAAGTACTAAAAAACACTCTGCCATTCCTCAAGTAGTTGAACAGACTATACTGTAGTACAAATTGAATATTTGTTATTCTTTCAACATAATTAATTTATATATACAAATACTATTGAAGATGCTAAAATATAACTTGTGGCATGGCAAAAGGTATGTTGGCTTTAAGATAATGAGATTTTTTTTTGTTAGGGAGCTTATATTAGAGCATGTTGAAACAATGTGTAAAAAAGTAGTGGGCTAGTGGCCTTGCCCTGCTGCCCCAAGGCAGGGATTAAAATGTTTGACTTTACTTTTTTTCACATTCTCCTTACCCTACTATCACTCAGGTGTTTTAGGTAGTGGAAAAGCCCGTCCACAATTTGGTCATACAATGTAAATTTTAAATCATTTATTTCTTTCGAAATTTAGTGTTTTCATGATCTAAGAACACAAAAATATTTGCATAGCATAATAGGACCAAATTGTTGGGCTGGCTTGGCCACTGGAATTGCCTAAAAACACAATTTAAGTAAACACAATGGTCAATACAACCTCAGCTAATTTAGATTAATTTTATCACCTATACCAATACCACATGTTCGAGTAGTTCACTTTTTTGGTTTTCTCCTTTTTTTCACTGGTTCATCACCAACCTGAAACCACTTTTTCTCTTCATACTTGCCACCAACATTCCCTCTAATAACAGGCGCAATGTCTCTTTGTGCAGCAATGGTGAGGTCGTTATACCCAAACTGCTGGGCTGTGGGGTTGTCTGAGTGACCACTTTTAGCTCTGTGATGCCCAAAGTAGTCCTCTAGAACATCTTGCATAAATCGTTCACTGAGGACATACTGAAACCCTTCAGCAAGCAAAAACTGAATTGCTTCAATATGTGAGTGTACACAAATTTTCAAACCTTTGTAGGTCTGAAGTGAAAGGAACATCTTTCCTCTGTCATCAGCAGAATAATTTCCCTCTCGTTGCATGGTGCTCGCTCTCCAATCATCTAAGTATTTCAGGAAGACATCCTTTAGCCACGTCAATCTCTCATCATCTTGCATTTCATAGGGTTTGATGAGATGATTTCTTTTCCTGACATGTTCAGTCAGAGACCTTACATTTGCACAGTCAAAGAAATCATTCATCATCCTACAAAATTGGGCTGTACCTGTGACATCATCTTTCCCACTTTCCTCCAACGCGAAAGCAACAGACTTACTTAGGACTTGTGTTGCCAACCTCACCTTCATCTTGCTGTAGGACGTAAGTACAATGTGATCAAGAGAAAGCTTTGGTAATGTGTGCAGAGCAAACTCTTGATCACTGTAGAAAAATACAAGGTTGGACTGAATTTTCATTTCATCCATCACCAAAACCACATAGCGCTGAATTCCAGAGAGTGGTGATGCCTTCTCTTTGAGATTATCAATGTTCTCAATGTTTATGCCTGCTTTGGATTTCAAATAGTTTTTGAAGTCTCTTAAGACACGTTCACTGGGCAAAATGAGAGCACCACTGTCCCTGAGTTCACGGTATGCAGCTGGAGATTTGCCATGCAAAGACAGGGCAAATCGAATAATTTGAAAGTAATAACATCGTCCAAATTTTTCACTTTGTAGCAGCTTCATTTGCTGCTCTTAAAAGAATTTCATATGAGGAGTGGCCTCAAGATTTTGACCACCCATGATTTTTAAAATGTCATTCTCCAATGAGTCACTGATTCCCACACCATTAATCATTATTTTCGACTCAAGCTCTTGTATCCTGCCTTCTAAATCCTTGCATTCCAGTCTGGATGCTTTCACTGTTGCTACCAACTTCTCTGAACTGCATGATGCGAGTGGAGTCTTTCTCCTAGCAGCTTTCTCAAGAGTGGAAAGGGTTTTGGCACAGGGGTTGCAAGGTTGGTCTGTAGCACTGTCTGTGACGATGGTAGCTTCACACCCAGGGGATCGGAAAGAAACACTTGTTTGATAATTTCTATCAGAAATGCATTTTGGGATGGAATGCCGAACAACTGTAGACTGGGGAAAAGCAGACAAATCAAAATCAGACGTTGGATCAACTGCAACAGATTTGGTAAGTTCATTTTGTGGCAAGCCATCACAAAGTTTAGAATTAGCTACCAACTTTAGTAATGCTTTGCAGTTTTCGACCCGACATGCAGCAGCTAGTGTATGTTACTGTTTGTCTCTCTTTATAGATAAGATATCCATGAAGTCTACTACCTCACAGGCTAACTAGAACATGACAAAAGAACAGCAATTATAAAATATGTTCATTTTTCTCTATTTTAATAACAACTTTTCTAAATTATGTAATATAATGGACCTGGTTCTGCACTGGTGCTAGCTTAATCGTTTGATGATCGCTACATCGTATAGTATGTTATAAAAACGCAAGTTCTGCACGTGCTTGTCTCAGTTCTGATTGGCTCCCTGACTTGACGTCATCAGACTTTCAAAATAAGCAAAACATAATTAAACAAAACATAAACCCTTTGTTACACTCCCGAGGGTAATTGTTATGTAATATACGATTAATACAATTATTTTACGTTATTGTCTCTGTATCTCTCAGTTTCCTTACGGTTGTTCTGACTTCGCAGGAAGTATTTTGTAACAGACGTACTAGACTCGAAAGTCTGAGTTTCTACGGAACTTGAATCTGCTTTCGCCATCTTCATTCTGTTCATTTCCATCATTTTCGTTCTTCTGTTTGTCACTCAATCGTATTTCTAACGGAACTAGGTGTTGTATAGGTCTTCGTGAACAGGATGTTCTGCCATTCTCTTGGTTAATTATGTGTACCTTCACCGCTTTAATGACACTGTCTTTACTAGGGAGTAATTCCTCCACTTTCGCCAAATTCCAAAATGATCGCGATGACTTGTCCTTCTTTAAAACGACAATCTCTCCTTCCTCAATCGGACACTGGAGGGTCTCATTCAAGGAACCCTTTGGCTTCGACTTCTCTCTCAAACTGGTAAGATACTCCATTCTCCATTGTGTCACAATTGGTTTAAAAGCCTTGACTAATGATTTTGAAATGCTGATCTTTCGGCGTTGTGGCAATGTTTCGACCATAGATCAACTTTGCGGGTGTTAACAGGTAAGACACTCCTTCCTCTTCATTATACACGTTAGTGATCGGACGATTATTTAATGTAGCCTCAACCTCAATCAATAAGGTGCTCATTTCTTCAAACGACAATGACGCGTGACCAATGACCTTTTTCAGGCAGCGTTTGACACACTTTACCATTCGCTCCCAAAAACCCCTTTGCCAGGGAGCCTTTTCCACGATGAAATCCCATGTGATTCCTTTGTTTGCGAAATACCGTTGAACTTCTGCTGATCTCACAATTCCGTTGACTTCCTTTGACGCTGCCTTAAATGATTTTGCGTTCTCGGATAGTAGCTTTGTTGGTAATCCTCTTCGGGTGGTGAACCTTCTAAAGGGCTGTAAAAAGGTAGACACTGATAAATTAGGCACGAGTTCGAGATGCAGAGCCCTTGTTGACGCACACATATACAGACAAATGTATGCCTTGTGCAGCTTTCGTTCTGTGACATCTTCCTCTGTGGTTGTTAGATACAGTGGTCCCGCGAAATCCATACCAGTTTGAGCAAAAGGTGGGACCTCGCTGACTCTACATGATGGTAACGGGGTGAACTTTGGTGTTGCGCATGGTTTTCCTTTTTGTTTCCTACATACGACGCATACTCCAATTGCACGTTTAACAGCTTCTCAACCTCTTGGAACGCAATACTCTTCTCGAATGCAATTCAATGTCTCTTTAACTCCATTATGATGAACAACTTCATGACAGTTTCGAATTACTAGTGGGTATGAAAATGTCGTGAAGGAAGAAGTATTGGCCGCTTTGTTGTCATAGATAATGATGATTCACCTATTCGCCCTTGGCATTGAATTGTGCTTTCTCCATTTAAGAACAAATCCAACTGTCTCACGAGCTGTGGTTTTGTTGTCAAAACTGCTTGCAGATATAACCTTTCTTCCTTGAAATTGCTGGCCTGTATGGCATTTACCCAAATTCTTTCAGCTGCTTTCAGTTCATTTAGTTGGCTTCTACGTTAGGTGGGGTGTTCGTAACATTGGTTAAACCTCTCGTTAGCGTTGGTTTGGCCTTTCTGCGAATGCTTTCAACTCGTCACTCTCTGTAGGTCCTGGTTCACTCGGCCAAGACTCATTGGTACATAGAATAAACTCTGGACCGTCCCACCATGTTGTATTCTTCATTAACTCTACTCCATGACTCCCTCTCAATGGCAAGTCTGCTGGGTTTTGTTCGCCTGGACAAAACTGCCAAGATTCCGTCTCGATGAGTCCACATATCTCTTCAACACGATGATTGACGTAAGATTTCTAAATCCTTTTCGTTCATGATCCAGCACAAAACTGTGTAAGAATCAGTCCAACAAAATATTTCAGGAGTGGAGTGCAATGAAGTCAGCGCTTTCCGGACAGAGTTCATCAATCGAGCAAGGATATTTGCCCCCAGTAATTCTAATCAAGGTATTGATTGTTTCTTAGTTGGGGCCACTCTCGTCTGGAAGGCTACAAGATTAACTTCAATTTCTCCGTTGTGATTAACTGTTCGTAAATAAATTACTGCAGCGTAAGCCTTTGATGATGCATCATTAAATCTGTGCAGCTGGCAATTCATCGGTTTCTCTTTGGTTTTTCTAAAGTAGAATCAAGGTATTTAAATATCGTGAAATGCTGAGAGGTCTACGATAAATCCCTTCCAAGCCAATAATGCTTCTCCATCTAACACATCGTCCCAATTAACGCCCTGAACACACAAAGTTTGGAACAAAACTTTCATGCTGATCGTAAATGGAGTAAAAAATCCAAGTGGATCAAACACTTTAGCTGCGAGTCGTAGCACCGATCGTTTCGTAGGATTAAGTGTTTCTGCAAAGTTCACCAAAGCCGTTAGCTCATATTGAATTTCATCAGTTTCAACATTCCAATTCAGTCCTAGGAATTTAATAGAACAGACCGGTTTAGACTCGTCATCTGCCTCGATTCGCTCCGACAAAACATCATCGTTTGCTTCATTTTGCACCTTTCCTGCAAAGGCAATTACAGTACATGGACATGGTAATATTTCTTTACTGAAAAATTCCATGGATTAAAGTATACGTGATGACGCGCTGTGTTGCGCGAATCTATAACAAATAAGTTGTTAAAAACTGTACTTTTTTACCCTAAATATCAATTTTCCGAAAGTCCGAAGTCGTATCATATAAAGACTGATACATGCTAAATATTTTCATACTACCATATGAGGTATATATCGTCGTCACGCTTTTGTGTATTAGCTATCAACTTCTTATATTATAGCATTGTCTTCACGAAACTCTTGCGATAGTATAAACAAAAGTTAAAACGTAACGCATTTCTGTTACAAGAAAAAGCGATGCAATGTTACCCATATACCTGAGCTTATACCTCCATTTTAGCCATTTAATTTTCTTATGCTAAACGCTTTTCCTGCATTTATCGGTATACTTGCGAACGCGCTTGATGTATAACACGATGTTGTCTTTTGGTGGTGTATAACACTTCCGTATACATCAATCACAAATTACAGCTGCACTCAGATATCATTAGTTGAATTTTTTTTAGCAGTTCTGCTTTGCGATCTCTGGACTTGAACGGTATTTCAAAATACGAACAGATTGTTTTCATCATGTTCATATTAAACATTTGGAGTTTCTTCTCTTTATTCAACTCACATAGATCGTACACGTCATATATGATGGGATGTTGCACCTGTAGGCTTTCGGCGATTTCATCCAAGACTTCTTTTCGGTTTTCTTCCTCTCCTCCAGCTGCTATTTCATTTACGAGATTTTCATCTATTAGTTCTGATGCAGATTCCAATGTTTGCACGTTTCCAGCTTTTCTCCTGGCTGCAGCAAGACGCGAGAAAAAGCTTTTGATTTGCGACGACGTTAACCACTCTTCACGAGTAAACCGCCTTGAATTATTCTCCTCTCTTGAATTTCTCATCTCCATTTCTACATCTCCCGGATTGGCTTTCCGTCCACTCTTCTCACCTGCTTCAAATTTAGCTATAAGGTATTTGCGGACCTTCTCGCTGAATTTTGCTGAGGCTACATTTTTTTTTAAAGCCCACCCAATTTTGTACTCTGCAGCCGTACTCTGTGATGCGCTTGTAGCCAATGTTTCGAGGGCAACTTCTGCCACTGCTACTTTTGTTTGCTTTTTTTGTTTTCCTTTAGGTCGTATGTCAATTGTCATGAACTTTTCTACCCAATCTCTCCGTATTTTGTCATACACAGTTTCATTTTCCAGATTGTTGTCATGCTTTCCGGTTTCCAAATGTAGATTAAAATTCTCGTGGCGTTTAAAAACTCTCCCGCAGCCTGGAATTGTGCATTCAAAAACTTGCTGTTCGGTTTCCTTGTTGTTTTCAGCGACCATTGTCCTACTTTCGAAAGGAAAAAATGCTGAAGGGTTTTGGCATTTGTTGAATTTTGGGGATGTACCACTATGCTGGAATAATGGAGAAGTTTGCCGGTACCGATTCCATACGCTCTCTTTACTCTAATTCCATCCTCTTCGAATTGAAAATTGTGAAAATTGTTGAACTGTGTAATGTTTTTAACTTTAATCGACTGAGCTGTTTCATCAATCTGATTCACCGAGCAAGTTGTACCTTTAACCGGATGGTTTATGAGTGCTTCTCTCATGTCTTCTGCTCTTAAAATGTCATGACCCTCGTTACAGTAATTTCTAATGGCCAGTTTCATTGGGCACAATATGCGATCACAAATATCCTTTCCAAATTGTGGTTCAGAATAATCATACCGAATGACATCAATTTGAGTCCTCTTTCCTACATCTTTCAGGGCAGCAAGCAACATGTTGTTGTGGTAACAACCTGCTTCGTCAGTTCTGAGGTATACTTTCTTAATATGAGGATTCCTTTTTTTGAATGGTTATCAAAAGATCCTCAAATACAGAGCAAAAGGCAAACCAATCTTGTGTGCACGCATCAATTAAATGTGCAAAGGTTGAAACTGAAACTTTCTCATTTTCTTTTGGATTCTTAAAAATGAGACTGCTGACATGCCAGCTTATACCTTGTTTTCTATACCATTCTGTTTGCTTTTCTCTGTGCTGAAGTTGCAGAAATTTCATGGCCCAGTCCATTACTACCAATGCAGAACAGTTATCGAGCATTTGCAAAGCGTCTTGTTTTCCACGTTCTTGGTTGCAAGATCTCATTATATGACATTTCCAACGAAATATATCAGTCTGTGCTTTGTTGAAGTCATAAAGAAAATCGCCTTTTTGGTCTTCAGAGTACATGTGACTTGAAAAGGAACGGATCTTATTTTCAATATCAATGAGAGCGGCTTTCAAATCCTTCACAAAATAACGAATGATCATGTGAACACAATTCCTGAAACGACTCATCTGCAGGGTCACTTAAGGCAAATTTCCTACAGTGGTCTGGGCATGGCGTTTCCTCGTTACAATGTACTGCATAATCAGTTGTCAAATACAAAGTGGCAAGGCGAAGTTTCTTCAGAATATTGTCGGTCCAATCTTTTTCAGCGCCAAGACTCTCCAGCTCCAAAACAATGCGTTTTATTCTTTCAAATCCAAGCGATCCGTCTGCTGCAATGTTGTCAATACCTTGAAGCGACTTTCTCTGACTTGCCTCTCTGACATCCAAAATTCTAAACATTGTCCTGCGGCTCAATGGCTCCACTTCCTCTTCTGCGCAGTATTTCAGGTACTGTGCAATTATGGTCGATTTGGTGACATTCCTCACGACATTTGGCATCGTTATCTTGGAACCACTGTCCAACGTTATCTTCCTTGTACCAAAGGCGACGTCGTGATAGAAGTACGGGCAATTTGCAAATTTGATAAAGTGGTCCACTTTTCCCATGTCTAAACGAATTCTATGCTGTGCAGTCTTTTGGACAATATTTCCAGGTCCATGTTTACTGGCGTGTTGTCTGGCCATTTTTATTTGCCAAGTGGTGATTTTTCCGTAGGGTTCGTGAATTATTTTGAGCATTTTTTGTGGATATCTATGGGCATAGAGACTTAAAATTTGTAGTTTCAGGTTTCTCGTTTTTGCATTTTGATAAGCAATCATAAGCCCTTCAAGTTCCTCCGAAATTTCAGGTTCGGCCGATTTCATCGCTTCAAAGAGTTCGTTGCTTGCGTTGGGTGCAATCACTTCGCAAATTACTTTGCAAGCCTCTGTTGCCTTTTCAATGCAAATTTCTTGTTCTTCTTTGGAGATGGAATCCCAGGAACTAGTCAACTGAAAAGTTAACGGCTCGGCCATTTTATTCTCGCTGGAACATATAGAAAGAGTTTGCATTGTTTCGTTAAATACTTCTACGGGATTTACTTGCTCGTCTTCACTAGAACTTTGTGAGTCACTGTCACACCTAAGGCTGGGTGTCCATAAGGTTTCTTTCCTCCTATACACTGGTGTTTCCACCGCATTGCGTGGAGAAGTTTCAGAATGAGTGCTTGAAGACATCAAATTCACCTTTGCCATCCTGGAGACCATGAACATTTGGACCTTCACA